TAACATTCCTAGAATGGAAATGATAAATAAAATAAATAGGTTTAATAAGCATACGACTAAATTAAAACGCCACAATTTAAAAGCCCAATAGTGAACACAAAAATGTTATAGCATAAAATAAAAACATCACACAATTATATTGTAATAAACCCTAAATGTCACAGTGGACTAAAATAGCAAATATCAAACTATATGAACAAAGTCCAAAATAACTAATAAATGAAATAAGCATACTAGGGGGCTAAAATGTAAACTAACAAAATTATAGTCTAAATGTAGAAGGTAACATAGATTTAAGGAATCTAGACCTTAGGACTAAAATACAACGTGCATAGAACTCGGTGAAAAAATAAAAATATTTAAAATACCTTAATTTGATGACTAAAATAGATTAAAGTGAAAAACTGCGGAGCCCTAACAGCAATAAACCACACGCGAACGAGTAGCCCAATCCCAACCTACGAACGGAACGACACTTTTTTGGGGGGTTTAATTAACCCTCCAAATTTAACCTTAAAAAACTAGACCTAATATCATTTCATTAACCAAACCCCATATCCCACAGCGTCGGTTCTCTCTACTCTTCACCCCATCTCTTGCTTCCAGCAAAACTGAGCGGCCACCATGGCCCCCCATAGCCTATGGGGCTCCGACGAAGATTCGAAATGCTCTAAACCAATTTCTTTAAAACCCGAAACCCCAAGGCATAAACCCTCATGAAAATGGTCCCCATAACCCCGAAACCACTCGACAAAGACTAGGGAATAAAAGGTTTACCTTCGACTCGATGGAGTTTAGATTTCGAACGACGATGACGAAGCTTTTCAGACCGAAAAGGTGAGAGTTTTTCTTTTTGGGGTTATTTTCTCCGCTCATAAAAGAAACTCTATCTTTTTTGGCTTGGTTATTGCCCTCATAGCTGTTGTATTCTTATGGGAGGAGAAGGGATCTCTTTCTCTTTTTCGTTTTGTGTTGTTGTTGTTGGTTATCTCGGCTGCTTGAAAAGAATGGATGGAATTTGTTTGGTCTGGTTTCCTGATTAATTGGTTTTTTTATTGTCCCCCCTCCCCTGATGAAAAAATGATCTATGATATATTCCCCATTTTTTATCTTTTTTTTTTTTTTGCATGAACGGGGCGAGGACTCTACATGGCAGAGGGATTTCGCCCCTCCCCTGGCAGACTGGTGTTGCAGTTGTTTTGGACTATTGCAACAGGTACGATCAGTGGTGGATGCACAGTTCAGATCCACAGGCGCGTGGAGCCTTCGAGGGTGCGAGTGTGTGTCCTACGCCTATAGATTGGACGGTTAAGGACCGGTTGGAAAATGGACTGTTGGATTGTTGATCAGATCCAACGGTTGTAATGTGTTGGCAGCATTGGGGTCTGATATTAAGGTAAACCCTAAATATGGGTACCCAAAGTGATCATTTGATCTCTCTTCAATCCGACGGTTGGCGTTTTGGCGATGACAAAGATCACAAGGGCAGCTAGGGTTTCCCCCAAACTCTTAACCGTTTGGGCTATCTCCATTTCGGGCCTCCACTTGCTAGTCCATTTGTTTGAATTATTTTTGTAATTTTGGGCTTGCAAACACGGAATAAGATTAGTGCATTAATATTTATTATTATTATTATTATTATAATATATATATATATATATATATATATATAAATATTTGATTTAATATACTAATATAATATAAACACACGCCTATATTCTTATATATGTAATGTTATATTTGTTCATCGAGATAAATATATAAATAATAATAAAATATATAAACACACGCACAACTAGTGAAGGTAACTAAAAATTAACCCCTATATAATTAATAATAATATAACCATAAATATAACTAATAGTAATATATATAACCATAACTAATAGTAATAATAATTAATAACTAACACATATATAAACAAAACTAATAATATAATATAATATAATATATATTCCCATATATCATGCACACTATCTATATATAATTAAGCAATTAACCTAGTAAACTCTTATATTTAAACTAATTAATAATATATGAATACGAATGAAATTTGGATGCAGCCCCCGAACAAAATGAGGATCTACAGTACCCTATTTGAATCTTATGATCATTGAAAAATATTGATTTTGTCGTGATACCGTTATATAAGTTAAATACAAAATGTGGTGAATATTCAAATGACTAAATTAGTTTAATGGTTAAGTGATTTATTGCTCATGTAAGAGACCCAAGTTCAATTTATACTAGGAGTAAGAATGATTTCTATCTTTTTATCCCCATTGGCGGTGACATGTGTCACCATTTAAATCGTTTAATAAAATTAATTAAAAAATATTGATGAATAAAGAAAAAAGTGATATGATAATTAAAAATAAAAAAATTAACATGTTAGGTCACATAAGCATTGCCGTTAATGGTTTTAAAAAATTAAAGATTAGATACTAAAATAAAACAAAGTGATCATTTGGGTTCAAAACGTGTAATTAACTGTTTTAATATTTACTTAATAAGGATAATTTAATTAGTGATGCACTTTGATGTGTCTCTTTAATAGTATATTGCAGTATGGTTTGTGACGTGTGCGGTACAATTGTCCATTATTTCATTTAAAAGTTTGTAATGATGGTAATATAGTATTTATTTAAATTTTTTAGTTTTTTCTTAATTTTTTTAAAATTGATGATGGTATATACTTTCAATAAATATAATTATTTAAATTCAAATATTATAGAGAAAAAGATATTGTTTATATCACTAAAATCAAATAATGAGTTTAAATGTTTATTTTATCTTTTTCTGATCTAGAAACATTATCGATCCTTAAAAATTATCGACCATCGTTTTTGTCATCATAATTAATAATTTTTTATTTGACTTTTACGTTTATAATTACCATCTTGCTTTTCTATATGAATTTTTTTTTATTAATCTAGGTAAGTATAAGATATTATTTGTTTTAACTTTAAAGATAATTTTTAATCATTTTACATTGAACGCTCACACATCTGATATTCCGAGATCTCAAGAAATAACAACAATTTATTTGCCATCGATCTTGGTTCGTGCTTGTATATAAAGATTTGCATCTTGTGTTAAGGGGTATAAATGAATTGAGCTTGAATAAAAAATGTTATGCTAGTGTTCATTTGTTTATTTTTGAAAGTGTTCGTGTCCGTTGTTTGTTCGTTTAAGTTTTTAATATTGTGTTCGTGTTCGTTTATTTATTGTCCGTGAAAATAGATGGACCGAGGGGGTGGTTAGGTGTGTTCAAAAAACTCATAATCGTTAACCATAACTGTTAAATCGGTATAATCGTTATATTTAACAGGTTAATTAACCGAACCGTTAAAAATGATGATTAACGGTTAAGGTTGCGGTTATAAATTTTGAAAAACGGTTAACCAATGGTTAATCGTTAATAAATTAAATTTCTAATTTATTATATTTTTGCACAAATAACTTAATATATTTCTTTATTATTTATAATTTATATATATATAATTAATAAAATTTGTATATAAATAATTTAATATATATTTTTATCATTTTTAATTTTTTATTTCATTAAAAATATAGAAACATACTTACACCAATATAATAATGTCTTTATTGTTAGGTACTAAGATATTTGAAGAAGTACATAATTACACATGTGTAAGTATGCGTTAAGTGCTACACTTTTTTATTTTATTCACTTACATCAATGTAAGTATGTGTTAAGTTATATACTTTTTTGTAAGTATGTGTTAATAACGGTTAACTGTTTCTTAATGGTTAGGTTACGATTAGAAAAAGATTATAACCATTATAGTGGTTAACCGATGGTTTAGGCTAGATGGTACGGTTAACCGTCTATGAACAACCCTTGGTGTGGTTGTATCCCCTAGAAATTTTAAATTCCCTTATATTTTAGGTATTTTATTTGTATTTTATATGGATTATCTAATTTGCATCTCCCGAGATTTTATAATTTTGCACCCCCTAAACTTTTAATATAATTTCAAAAGTTCACGCCCTCTTACATAAATTTTTACATCCGTCCTTGTTTATGAATATGTTCATTTAATGTTCACAAACGTTTTCTTTTATATGTTCAAGAACGTGTTTATTTAGTGTTCATGAATATATTTATTTAGCATCCACAAACATGTTCGTTTATATGTTCAATTTTTAGTTTTATCCTTTATTTTGTAAATTAAAAAAATGATAGAATTACTCTATTAGTGCTTAAACTCCATAAATTCATAATTTAAATTTTAACTTACACCATGTGTTCAATTTAGTCCCTACTTCCACCAATATTTAAAATACAAAAAAAATGAAAAAGATAATCGGGTAAACGAATTTGTTCATTAATATAGATGAACGAAGTCGATAAACGAGCTCATAAATAAATTTATTTGTAGGGACAAAACTACTAAGGCAATGCGAGGGGAAGTGCCCCCAACCCAGCAAACCTTTTTTTACATTTAATTTATATAAAATTTAAACATTTATGGAATAAGTATGAAATTGCCCCCGACTTTAGAAAAATTATACTTTGCTCCCTCAAGTTAAAATCCTATCTCCGTTTCTGTTTGTTCGTAAACATAAATGAACTAAACACATCTATATTTGTATTCGTTCATTTATTAAAAGAACATAAAAATATTATTGATACTCATTTATTTAACTTAACAAACGAATATAAACGAACGATTCTCGAACATTTGATCAAAATATCTGTTTATTTACACCCTGATCGAATTTCTTTTAAAAAATAAAAACAAGTCCTGTAATCATGAATGAGGGTTAAAAGGATTGGATAGCTAATAATAGCATAGGCATCAACTCACTAATGATTTTTGGGACGTGAGTTTCATGAGCACTCGTCATCCAATTCCAGCCCTCCACATTTTAAGTACATTCAATTTCATCCACGTTTTAGAAAGCCGCCTTTAGTCTCTGACTTCATGCACGTGTGAATTATCATCTCGAATCCCCAAATTTGCGGTTCATTAAACAAGCGAAACACAAAACCCAAACGGCGCCAAAAAGAGCAGAAGATAAAAATGGAGAATCAGAAGCAAACAGGACCCGAAGCTCCTATCAAAGTGTCAACCCTCAATTGTATCGATCTCTCTAATCCTGATATTCACCACTCCGTCTCTTTACTCAAGCAGGTTTGGTTTCACCCTCGGTATTTCCGTGTTTGTTGTACTTATAATATGAATTCACTGTTTTTCTCCGCAATGACTTTTAGTTGATATTTTGTTGCCATAGTGATTGATTACAATACAAACCCATGATTAAAGTTTGGGTTTTTTTTTGGGTGGGTTTAGGCTTGCTTGGATTGCGGGTTTTTCTATGTTGTAAACCATGGGATAAGCCAAGAATTCATGGATGAAGTATTTGCTCAAAGCAAGAAGTTCTTTCATTTGCCATTAAACGAGAAAATGAAAGTTTTGAGGAGTGAAAAACATAGAGGCTATACTCCCCTGCTTGATGAGCATCTTGACCTTGAGAATCAAATACATGGTCAGCTAACTCTCTCTCTTTAGCTTTTGTATTTCTTTACCGTTGATCATTGGTGAAATAGTTTGTGTGGAATTAAAAGTATTCAATCCTTTTTCTTTTCTTCTTTCATGGTTTGGCTGTAGGAGACTACAAAGAAGGGTATTACATCGGTGTCAATGTGCCTGAAAACGACCCTGAATCCGAGAAGCCGTTTAATGGGTGTAATGTTTGGCCCGCATATGGTAAAGTGCTTTGAATTTCATTGATTGATTATCTTATTTTAAATGAGTATTTCACCAATTGCTTTTGTTACTTTCGGCATTGGTTAGGTGTTTTGCCCGGATGGAGGCAGACTATGGAGAAATTTCATCATGAGGCATTGTATGTAACAAGCTTGTCTCATGATAATATGTGTGTGTGTGTAAAAAATATGCTGATAAGATTTTATATTTCTTCTTCATTTGTTATCAGGGAGGTAGCGAAGGCAGTTGCAAGGATGATAGCGCTTGCACTCAACCTAGAGGCTGATTTCTTCGATAAGCCTGAGATTCTTGGGGAGCCTATTGCCATCTTGCGATTGCTACACTATGAAGGTGTGAGATTGTAGGATATCTTTAATCTTTATTAATCTTAGTATCTTACCGTCATTCAAAATCGATATAGATTACTATATGAATTTCAAAATCTGTTCAGGTAAAATTTCTGATCCTTTGAAAGGAATATATGGAGCTGGGGCACATTCTGACTTCGGATTTATTACACTCTTGGCAACCGATGATGTTATGGGTCTGCAAGTACGAAAGTTGCTGGAACAATGTTTATATTGCCATTATTTTATACATTTCTCAAGTTAACAAATGTTTATATGACTTTTCCTTGCAGATATGCAGGGATAAAGAAGCAAAGCCTCAGTTATGGGAGTACGTTACACCGATGAAAGGGTAAGTCACAGATGGGTAGCAGAGATTTGAGCTTGTACATTACATTGTACGCATGCTTACAATATGGTTCATATGCAATTTGGTTTAACTGGAGGCTGCATTTGGATCCAATCTCAGTTTTTAAGAGAATTATTTCCAATTATTTGCTGCACCTAGTTTGCTTCTTATGTACCAAGTTCAGTTTCATCACCAATACATGATGTGCTTAATAAGAGGTCGATTTTGTTCAGAGCTTTTATAGTCAACCTTGGGGACATGCTGGAGCGCTGGAGTAACTGTATATTCAAGTAATGTTCAACTTTCTGTGGTAACTATGGTCTAAACTGCATATTTTAAGATGATGCACCTTATAACATAAGAACCTAAACTAATTTTAGTACTCTGCTCTTTTCCTTTTCCTTTTAAGTTGAGCCGTTTATCATATTGATAAATCGACAGCATTAGAAATGTCATCTAAGGCTTTTACTAAGAGAAAGCTGCCACATAGTGACTTTGAGCTTTTTTGCATCCTGAACTTTGTCGTTTGACAATACGCTCATCATTTCACTTTTTTTTCCCTTAACAAAATATATGGTTTGTGTATGTACCAGGTCCACTTTGCACAGAGTTTTAGGAAATGGTCAAGATAGATATTCGGTAAGACCCACCTTCCCTTGTAATCCAGGCTTTATGGCCTTCTGCGATCGGATGGTTCATGTTCGATCAGACGTTCTATGATGTCTTCGTGTTACAATATCAGGGCATTTTGGTTAACATGAAAAGAAACAATTTTACTGACGTCGTCTTGTTTTTTTCATACTGTTTTCATCTGTGATGAATCTACTTGGAACTTTACCGGTTTATGTGTTTTTGTTTCCGATGGCAGATTGCATACTTTGTGGAACCTAATCATGACTGCCTTGTTGAATGTTTGCCGACCTGCAAATCAGAAGAAAATCCTCCCAAGTAAGTCTTAGTATCCATTTCTTTCTAATTATAGACGATAAGGCTCGAAAACCCCTCCCATTCGAAACCCTCCTCGGTTGCTCCAACTCTTGATCTAAACCATCTTGTTTCATCTAACTGCTACATATATTTCTAACCAGGTTTCCTCCTATTCGATGCTCGACGTATATGAGCCAACGTTACAGGGACACTCATGCTGATTTGAATGTATACAATGAACATCAGGCTTGAAGTCCTTCACCATACATCGGCATATCGATCTTAATGTTGTTTGCATCATAAATTGGAAAGTTTTAGCTTCAACTCTGGATTTAACATGTTTGGAATTCGAATCTCGATATTTCAACCCTAATCATCAGTGTTTTATCCCATTGGATCAATTTTTTAGGATAAACTATATGAATAGTCCCCTTTGTTTTCAATCTGACTGAATTTGGTAATCGGTTTAAAAATTAAGTGTGTTTGGTTCCTTAGGTTAATTGCCAACTAATACTTCCGTTAATGGGTTAACGAGAGTTAACAGCCAAGGGACTAAAATCGAACAAATTGATAACATAAGGGACTAAACGTATTTAATTTTTTTAAACCGGTGACCAAAGTCGGTCAAATCATAAAACAAAAGGGACTATTCGTACAGTTTATCCATTTTTTAATTTTAATATTTTTAAAATGCGATTCTGATTTTTTATATTTTATATTTTATTTTTAATAATTTTTTTTGCTTGAATATTAAATAAAGTCTTAAATTGCAAAAATAAATGAACTTTTTTTACATGTAAACGTGAATTGTCAAGTTGAATTATCATATCAATAAGTTAATTGTTAAATCAGTAAGCTGAAGTATCATATCAATAATAATTTTTGCTCAAAAAATGAATATTTTTCTGATTAAGAGAGAAAGTGGATAATTTTAGTACAGATGATCAACAAGTTAAAGCACCAAATAATGGAAAAGAGCTCATGATATTTCATTATACGATGTAGAGAACTAGTAAGAGTCACTGCTTCAAACTCACCTTTATATGAACAGAATGAATATCATTATTCACAGTCGAATTACTTACTTCCGATCTACAACATGCTTGCTGGCTTCTCGTTTCCAATTTTGTCATCATGGTGTCCGAAGTGAACTTCTAATTTAAGAAAAAATGGTAGCATATCGACAGATAGCAGTTAGCAGCCAGTCGAGGAATCCGAGGTTCAGAAATACACCAAAATCTAAATCTGGCCCTTCTAGTAGTTCTCAATATAAAAATGAAACTGACTGATTTTAGATGAATGTCTTCTTGGACCATTCCATGAATACCTGCAGAAGAAAAAAGAGTATGCAAACCTTGCAGATAGTAGACCAAACATTCGGAGAATCCTCGGTCGGAGCTATGGTGCATTTTTCCTCCCAGATTACGGTAAGTTTGAGTTCTGACGACCCATAGATTCCGCAAGTTCCTTGGTAGCAAAATTTTCCGCTTGTTCCTACAGACCACATTTAACGCAATGATCAGTTGTGTCATAAGGCCTCATTGGCCTAAAGCTGGAAACAAAAGTGAATTCCTACTATCAACTGTTCAAATGATCATTTTCCGAAAGATCGGATAGCTCATACCTGAAGGCGATGTAACAAGTACATCAAGAAGATATGTACGAACACCTGCATATTTTTTCCCAAATGGTTTGTTGTAGAATTTAATCCATCTATGTAACGCATTACTGCAAAGACGCGGTGAAGTTGTTCTTACGAGATAGCATAGCAAGATTATTCGAGCAGCAGGATATCGCAAAAGAAATCTTGTGGCCCTGACTGATGCTGAATCCAGTAATTTTGTAACCTTCTGTAACTGCATTAGGCAGATTGAAACGCGAGTCGGAACAAACGACTGGGATGGTAAGTAGGTTTTGGGGTATAAAAGGAGGAATACCTGTATGCTTGCTGCAGTCAGGTGACGGTGATGCACGGGAAGAGGCCTGCAGTCATTAACTTGATAAGGAAATTTTTGAAATATCAAAATTAACCACATCAGTAGATTGATAGGGAGCAAAATATTCGTGCAGGGGGAGCGAAAAATGTAGGATGAACAGGCAGTAATATATCATTTTGCAACCTTCAGTTTAATTGGTTAATTCGATTTAACCGACCATTTGCTCGCCCCTGAAGGAAATATGTAAATATGATCATATTTCACAAATCATGTTTCCTCAAAACAAAAACAATCTGAAAGACACCGAGAATTCCAACACTCGATAAGAAGCTAAAACTTGGAGATAAAGGGTGCAAGGGTTCTAATATGATAAAACTAAAAAGCTTAACATACTCGAGTGCTTTGATTTCAGTGTCTTCCTCCCACAGATAAGATGCCCGACGAGGAACTCTACTTCTTTCTACTTCAACCTGTTGATTGTAATACGGTACATCAATAGAAAAACAAGGATATTCACCAACTAAAAATACATAACCAGTTTTGCAGAAGAGAAATCGCTAGACCTGTGCTTCTTGAAGACGTTTTATTTCCTTCTCGAACTGGAACTCAGCGGCAGCTTTTTCACTAGCCATGGTTTCTAACTGTGTTTGCTTGTGGTACTGCAGAATGGTGTGGCGACAAGAAATTGGCACAGACAAATAGATCTTACAAGAGCAAATCAAAAGGTAAACCTTAGTTTTCTATTACCAAAAGGTCAGTTAATTCACGGTAGCGCTTCTCTAGCTCCATGTGCTCCTGACAGAAGGAAACAATATTCATGAGACAATTCTCAGGTGGATCAAAACATACAACTGAATTTACCATGAATAAATACACTTCACAAATTTGCATATAGAAAGAACCAGGTCCCATTTCATTTTTAGACTAGCAAGAAAACTCAAATTAAACTATGAATACAACAAGGATATAGTTCCCTAATTACTTGCGATACACAACAAGATGTGACAAATTTGAGGAATTGGTTGAACCCAAACATCAGAGAACAAAGTCATGTAACTTGGAAGCTGATATACAACTAGCTAGAAAAGACAAGAAATAAAAGTTAAGGCTCTATTAGTACCAAGTTCGGCAGTCACTTGCAATTTATATACTGCAACCATACCATTGATAAAGTCATACTTCATTTCTGATTAGAAAATACTGAACAAGGTGCACGCATACATGTGTTTGATGTAAGGAAAACAGATGAATAAATTTGAACATTACTTGGGGTGAATAATGCTCAGCATCCCTCTTCATAGAAGCCATTTTAACCCTCATTTTCAGCATTTCAGCCTGCAGCCATGCAAAGATGTACAAATCCATAAATCAGCCAGCAAAGAAACCAGAATAATCTCACTATTATGTTACAGTAAAGGAAAGAGATTTTTTTTTTATACTTGCTTCTAATGAAGAGAGCTTGCTGTCAGCATCTCTTTGACCACTGCGCGCACGATCTACTTCCTCCTTCCATGCCTGCATTTGTAAAACCATCTTTAAGTCATTGCTTTGATAATTACTACAATTGATGCAACAGCTAAAGGCCATATATCATGCCTGCAACGAGATATTAGATGTAGTTTGAACTTTCAAACTTCTGAATGTTCTTAATGACGTAAAACCCACATCTCAGTAGATTACATTAAGCATATCCCATAAGTAGGTGCTTTTTATTGCTTGGGTTTGACGTTATGGAAATTGTCCCATGACATCTGCAATATAAAATTCAGAGTTATAATTCATCAAATTTACCTGAGCCATTTGATTTGCCTCTTCTGGGGACTTCTTTTGTCCTCGACAAGTGCGAGCTTCCATCTCTTGCAATTCTTGATTTAGAGTTGCAGATTCAACCTGATAGCATATGAGGTAAATTTCAAGAGGCTTTTTATTTCATATTTTTCTCAGTCAGAGGTAAACTTTCATGTAAAGCACTGTTATCAGTCTGTTTCATATACCTCAAGTTGTGCCACCTTCTGCTCAAGCTCTGCAGCTTTTGCCGTCCTCTCATCTATAACCCTCAGGAAAGTAAACAAGGAAGAATTTACAATGCGTGTTGGAAATATATATAGAGCCAAATGATACACCTGTGCTGAACAAGGGGCACCAGCTTTGCTTAAAAAACTTGGTATTTTGAAATCCAAACGGTAGATGACATATTAACCACAGGACAAACTGTTATTCGTTTGATTTAAAATAAAATTAATTAAAAATAATTAAACTAAGGAAGGCATGATACCATAAAGGTTAAATGAACGGCAGTATACTCATAAATAGCTCAATTTAAACAAGTTTAGCAACAATGAAGGAAACCGAAAAACAACAGTCAACATAAAACTACTGTATTAGTAAATATGAATCTGAAAACGAGAAGTCAAAATGCCTTTGAGATAACTGTATCTACTATCCTAATTATCAAATTCAAGTGGATTGCCCTTTATTTGCCAATTCAGTATTTGAAAGGTATGCAGATCCATTAATAAGATTGTGCTGATGTACCAGATTACAGATCATAGAAACACTAGCATCCAAGAATTTAGAGTGCAAACATCCGATAAATATATTTGTCTTATCAACCTTGTTTTGCCAAGAAAAAAGTGTCAAAAGAGAAAAGCTTATCAATAAAAATGAAAATATGTTTGCAATTGCAAATGAAAATTTCCTGGATAATGATATTTAGAAATCCAAAATTGACAGAACTTACCAAACAGTTATTAAATGCAAAGTTCCACCACATACAGGAATTAACCTGAGCCAACTAAGATCCACTTAAAAGAGAATGAGGATGAGACTAATCTATAAAGGCCAATATTACGTTCAACTCACAGAATATGTTTGTAAATGAAAATCCCTGGATAATAATAATATTTAGAAATCCAAAATTGACAGAACTTCACCAAACAGATAATAAATGCCAAGTTTCTACCACATCAAGGCATTATCTAGAACCAACCAACATCCACTTGAAAGAGAATGAGGAAAGGACTAATCTTGAATGGCCAATATTACATTCAACTCAGTTTTTTTTTTTAATATGCAAGTATCAAGCAAAACAAGAATATTATGCATGCAAAAAAAATGATTTGGTCATGGAATCAGAAACAAAGAATCCTCGCATTACCTGGATCCTAGCAAGAGCTGTGGATGCCTCAACAGCTTGATGTTCCAATTCCACTTCCCTTTCCATTGCAGCCTGTTCCAAAAAATAGAGATTATTGGAGTGCAAGATAAAATCCAAAAGTACATAAATCACTGTTGCAAATATGGACCATTTTAGTAGCATTATGAGCTGCACGTTCTTCTTCCGCTCTCCTTTCTGCAGAAGTGAGTTCCTCGCGTAGAGCCTAAGAAAGAAGTATACAAATAGATGAAC